GATTTCAGGTGCGGGAGTGGCCTCCTTGTTCACCATTATCTTCAAAGAAGGTGACACACCACACGTCTGAGATGATCATGGACGTCATCTGCATCATCATGGATCGTCATCGACATCGGCACATGCTGATGATCGTGCCAGTCTTTTCGACACCAGTCCACTGTTTCGCCTTCGCAACTCCCTGCGTCTTATCTCTCGATCTGGCCAAGAGCTGCAAGACTTTCATCTCCACTTTCATCGTCAAGGACGATCTCGTCCCCCGCCTCAGCTTCGGTTCGGTGGAAGATCTAAAAGCCAAACTACAACACCTCTTATCTCAGGATAACGGGAAGCTGCAGAGGTGTGATTACGTCATCCACTTCGTTACGTCTTCTCACCGAAATTTCAGGTTGTTCCAGTTGGTATCCGTGGGAAATACGCTCGGTACTTCTCTCACGTCGAAATTGTCCAACATGCTGTCCGTGTCTGCCGTTCCTGATCTAGATTTCACTTCGGAGATGAAGGACAGGCTGTATCCACCAGGTACCGTCTATCACATCATCTCCAGCGTAGACGTGGCCGATGCAAAGAGGGAGGGGGCACCGATACAGGTGAGATACCGTGTGATGACGTGTGATGACGTCACACAGAACGTGGAGCCCATCAGGGGGAGCGTCATAGGAGGACCGATGGTGTCCACGGAGATTGATTTAGAGAGGGACGAGAGTGTAAAGAACGTCGACACGCAGGCGGTAGACACGACGGTCACAGAGGGAGACCTCAATAAGATCGTAGAGGACGTAAAGAATGTCGACATAGATGATCCGAAAGCGGAGGAAGAGACGAAGCCTGTCACGGGCGTCGACAAACCACCCACTACAACGAGCCAATCCACTCCGACTACAACGAGCCAATCTAACTCACCACCACCAGCGACCAAGGTGAGAGTTCTGTCTCAGATACGCGAGCTCATCTTCACAGCCGACCGAGAAGAAGTCAGGTTGGAGTTTCTTTGGTAAGTCCTCCCCCAAACCTGCCAGACCACCACCACCTCCCAAGCCATTCGATGTCCTCGAGAGATCCGACCCCTCCCTCTTCTACAACATCATCATCTCGAAGACGATGCTGACCGATCACTTCCCCGATGTGTACGAATCAGCTCTCATCAAGATCCAAGAGAGGTTGTTAGAGAAGCAGGGAAAGAAGATGGATACCAAGACGACAAAGGAAGTGGCACAAGAGGCCACGGTGGACGTACCAAAGGAAGTCATCAACGAGCTGTTGACGAACCAATAAAAGAGTGTTCTGAACCCCAAACCGAGAGAAGTTCAGGCAGATATTTGCGGCAGCTGTTATGGGAAAAAACGTCAGCAAGACTTCATCCACCGAGGAGAGAAGTTCTAACTGCTTCTGAACCGTCTCACTCTTCACACATCGCTCATATAGTATCGACATTCATCTCATCATCTGATCACCATCGTGACGCTCGTCGTTTTATCCCATGCTATGCAATAGAAGCATCGGAAGTTCCGAGAACCATACGTGATCGGATATGTCGACGTAGACGGATACCCTCCACAGACACAGGTTCCACTTTTTCCCTCTCACAAGATGAGAAGTCAGCTCTTTGTGCTCGTCATCTCGGTTCTATATTTCGTCTCCGCACAGGATTGCATCAAGGTGAGAACATCAACATGCGAGCCATTGACGTGGTTCTCGTATCTGATGTGCTCTCCAGAATTCGACACAAGCGAGTTGCAGCAGCTATGTGTATCCCACAGAATCAGCCAGAGGAGACATCACGTCTCTGTGTTCTGCAATGAGTTTCATGCCGGGATGCACACTGGATAGAACCTGCAACACCAGCAGAAGCGACATCGCTGATTCTCCCTATTGCGACGAATTCGCCGTCGTCCGGGAGATCTGTGCCTTCGACACTGGGATGTCCATGATGAAGGGATGCAGCAGTTACAATTCCATGTGCGTCTCTGGCACCGCCGTCATGCAGTGCTCACTGAACGTCTTAACAATCCCGAGCACGATGGTGAGCAACAAAAACGAGATCGAAACGGTGACATCAAGGGTGCAGATTGCAAAGAACTTGACCTTAGGTATCTGCAATGAGATGACTATGGACGGCTGTGAAAAATGTTCCGCCACAGGAGCACCATGTGATTGGCTCTCCGTCTACTCCAACCTTTGCATCCAGATGCCAGGTGCACATCTCATCTCTCCTCCGTCTCACCTTCTAAATCATCGACAGACATGAGCCAGTGTGGAGCATGGCAGACCATGTGTCGATCTATCCCCGACTGGCCTCTTTGTAAGGCCGATAGCTCCGATTCATCTGCACCCGTTCAGATGCTGATGTACTTCCACACCGGTTTCAGTGATTACATCCTCTTCAAGGGTTGGGTACCTCGAACGAGCTGGCAATACGCCCTCTCTTTCATCGCCGTAGTCATCATTGCCATCCTGCATGAGTTCTTGAAAGTAGGAAGAAGTCTGCTGGAGAGACGTTGGGAGTACCAATACATTCAACCCAAATTGAACAACAACTGCGAGAACGATATGACCGAAGCTGGCTGTGACAAGTGAGACGGGACTCGTCGCATGCACGATGAATTGACCTCTTTAGGAACTCAAGAATTCCTCCGTTCAGACCCTTGGTCGATTTTCCCAGATGTTGTCTTCACGGTCTGGAGATCGCATGGGGCCTGTTCGTGATGCTGATTGCAATGACATACAACGTCGGATTGTTCATTGGCATCATCTTTGGTGCCATGGTGGGCATGTGTCTGGTGGGCAGGTACGCCCCCTACAACCCCACAGCTTCTAGCTGCTGCTGATCAATAAAATATATGATAAAGGAATTCATCACGACTTTATTGTTTCGATTGTTCCGCAGTTCATCCGGCAAATCTCGGAGGAATTTTAATTTTCCGTGCTCGGGAAATTGTCTGTCACAACACAATCACCATCGCTCAAACATGATCGGCACCTCTTTCGCGATGCACGTCGTCGTGTGGATCACAATCATCTTCATACAGTCTATATTGCCTGTCTCGATCGCCATCTTCTTGTCAACCATCGTTGGCGTTACCACAGGGCTGGGGAGTGAATGGACCTCGTGGATATGGTCTACCAGATCTGGCAATGTTCTTCTTATTTATTCCATCATAGAGGTAGTATCGAGGCCGGAATCTCCACTCACACAGCATCAGATCTACTTCTATTACTACTACAACAGAAGATTAGAACGCCTTCAGCGGGCGGCAACATCTCCCACATACACTCGCGAAGAGAGGAGCACACTGTTCGACAGGTCTGATCGTCTGGCCATCGCATACCTCCTCATCCTTCACCAGGTGCACGGCTACGATAGACAATCCGAACGAGTTCTGGTCAGGTTGGTTCCTGGGAGCTCCACCCCAGCAGGTACATTACCAGTGTCACCTTCATCTCATGTTCTTCAGCCCAAGATCGAAAACGCCAGAGAATGGATCCTGTGGTGCCTCTTCAACGCCACACCCGATCAGTTTAGACAATGGTCATCGAGAGATCCCTCATTAGAGTCCGAGCTCGAAGATTACACCCGACGCGCGGAGAAGATCCTCCAACACAAGTGAGAGGATTTTTCGTGACCAGATCATCATCATGTCTCATGGCGATCAGATTCGATGAAGGCTACGACAAGAACGTTCGGTGCATTCGCCTCAACATCGATCCAGTCAAGCCAACACACAGACCATTCATCTTCTACGCGGTGAGCTCATGTGCACGCGTGCATTCTGGGAGATGACTAAAGACATGAAGGCTACCGGGCTGCTCGATGTGTCGTCTCAATTGTGGCTGTTGAAGAGGGGATACCACAGGTACCTTCCCTCTGCTGCCTCCGGCTACAGAACGAAATTTCCGTGGGATTTCGCCCACATTCCCGGCCTATCGCACCCTTCCGGCTCCGCCGTCTCGTACTGGCATCGTCCATCTACAACTCGCCAGACGAAGAGCAAGCCCATCGTCTTCGTTCACGGTATCGGCACGGGTCTGCACACGTACGGCTGGTTACTCGACGTCCTCGACAGATCGAACCCTCACTCTGACATCTTCTTGGTCGAAATCCTCCACGTCAGGTGATCTCTACTACCATCATCTCTATGGTGGCTGACGAATGGTGCAGTATGAGGATCGTGGATCGAGTTCCAAATCGTGAGGAGACGGTGGAAGGCATCGATCGGATGTTGAGAGATCACGGTCAGGGTAGTGCCGTCTTCTGTGGACACAGCCTGGGAACCACTGTGGCCGCTTGGGTCGTCCGTGCAAAGTGAGTCTCGAAGAGAAATGTGGACTGACGCGTTGTAGACCGCAATTGGTATCTCACTTGGTCTTGGTCGATCCGGTCTGTTTCATGCTGCACCTGCCCGATGTGGCTTACAATTTTTTGTACAGAATACCACGTCACGCCAACGAGACGATGATGAACTTCTACGTCAGCAGTGAGGCTGGAATCGCATGGGCACTGGGTAGACATTTCTTCTGGTGAGACAGAGTCAAACTGCAAACGTGAAGCTCAAACTTCAAAGGGAACAGAACATCTTGTGGTCGGATCAGTTGCCGAATGAGACGACGGTGATCATCTCGGAAGACGACATCATCGTACCAGCAGCAAAGATATGGAAGTACCTCACTGGAGATGTTCCACCGAGAAGGAAGAACGGGCAGGAGAGATTAGTTGTGGAGGAGAAGGGAACGAGATTGATTTGGAATTACGGTTTGGATCACGGGCATGCCATATTATTTCCAGAGCCACAGAGAATCACTGTGGAATCAATCACGAGGTATGCACGAGAATAAAGACTGGGTCCAGTCGAGGTCTTTGTGTTTGTCTTGGGAGGAAAACTTGAATGATTTGAGCTTTAGACGTCTTCCTGTTTCAAAATCTCCTCGACAGCTCAAAATTATACATTCCATCAGCATTAAAACGATGGTATATAGACACAGTGATGTTGCCTCTTTCATTCGGGGGCATAGCTCATATGGTAGGGCACTCGCTTTGCATGCGAGGGGTAGGGGGATCGATACCCCCTGTCTCCATCTTTTGCTATCACCTGGTGTTTTTACCATCACCCACCGAAATTGATGATCTGCCTAGCTCGTGTGGATATGTATGTATGCAACACTCCAGCTGTGATTGGTAAGAATTGCGTTTGAATGGTGAAGTCTAATTTTCCACAAAATAAGGTTGCACAAACAACGCACCAGAGGGAGGCAGAACAGCAACCTCATCTAGAATTTCATCATCTACTAACACGCTACATCATGGGTAAGAGTCGTTTCGAATTCACAATAGAGATAATTTTGATGCATCTTGGAAGACTTTCATACCACCTCCTTTCTCATCTTCGACAGGTAACTTATTCTCGTCCTTATTTGGACGTTTATTTGGGAACAAAGACATGCGAATCCTCATTCTTGGTCTAGACGGTGAGCGATATGACGTTGCATTTTTGTAATAGCTGTGTGACATACAACAGGAGCAGGAAAGACGACGATATTATACAAACTACAGTGTGGCGAGGTAGTCACGACCATACCAAGTGGGTATCAGATTATTTTATCCTCCATTGACCCTGTAAAGCCATTGGATTCAATGTGGAGAGTGTCACCTATAAAAACATCAAGTTTCAAGGTGATCATTACATCCATAGAATCATTTCCATCGATGTAGACGTGAAAATGTACTGACGACACATGCAGTGTGGGATCTGGGAGGCCAGACGAGTATTCGGTGAGCCTCCTTTTCTTTTCGCTTTGCATCTCATCACATTATCAGTCCATACTGGAGGTGCTACTACGCAAACACGAACGCCATCATCTACGTTATAGACAGTGCCGATACGGAACGACTCGGTATATCAAAAGAGGAACTGATGGGCATGTTGGAGGTGAACTAATCATCTCCGCCTCTTCACAAACTGACCTCGATCAGGAGGAAGAGCTGAAGGATGCATGCCTTCTCATCTTTGCCAACAAACAAGATCTTCCAGGTGCAGCCACCGAAGCTCAGGTACTACCTCTAAATGTTCTCATGGATAATGACCTCTCTAGATCACCGAGCTGCTGGGATTGACCTCTCTGAAGAGCCGACAGTGGGCCATCTTTAAAACATCCGCCATCAAGGGAGACGGTATCTATGAGGGACTGGACTGGTGAGTCTCTATCACTCTCTTTGAGAGGTAACATGTCCACAGGTTGGTCAATGCACTCAAGGGGGTATGATTCGGAGACCAACACACGAACCATGCTTCCATCTCCTCTCTCGCTCGATCGAAATATACAACTACGTTTCTCTCGTGTTCTCGTGTCTGTGTAGATTTGCATGCCGCGTAGACTTGTGCATGTTGTGTAGAGGCGCGTTGTCTCTGTGAGACGTCGCAGAAAAAATCTTGTGCTTTCATCACACACCCGCCCGTCGTCGGAGATCCTACACAGCCCATTGGAGGTCTTAAGAAGGTCCATTATTCAGCTCTCCATTTATAGAGAGCAGAATGAGCCTGACGGTCAAAGGTGAATATCTCCATGTCGAATGATGATGGAAGAGATGTGTCAATGGAGTTGGTCTATTCGATAGGAGTAGTTTCTGATTCCACTATCAGTCAAAGAGGGGAGGAATCTCATACCAGATAAGAATGGAAATGCAGACCCCTACGTCGTGGTCTCTTTGGGAAGTTATACGAAAAAGACAAAACCACGAAAGAAGACGTTATGTCCAGACTGGTCAGACACAGAAGCATTCGTATTGTGAGATATCAATTCGTCGGATCTTGCATCTCGCATCACCCCACACTATACTCTTATAGAATCTATCGGGCATCGTCCTTACGTGTCTTCAATCTTTAAACACTTTTCCATCACAAAAAGTTTAGAAAAAACATCATATCACATAATGTCGTCTGACTCCATCTCAGTCCCGTAGACAACAACAGCAGTGACGTAACGTTTGAAGTCTACGATAGTTCGGCGAAGACTTTCCTCTCTTCACACAAGCGAATGGGGCGAGCCAAAATCAACATTCGAGATGTGTGTCCATCTTTCCCTTTCTTCCCTCTCACTCTGTTTCCAGCTCGATGGCAACGGAGAGCAGCACAAGTGGCTCCAACTGACACCTCTCAAAGAGAAAGATGAAGTCAGCGGAGACATCCACTTCACCATACAACTCTCTCGAACCGGTGAAGACTCGACGTCCAATTTAGCCACCAGCAACCGCAGCAACACCCTCCCAAGAGCTTCTCTACCTACCGAAGTTGAGCATCCCTTGTTCACTTACATCCGTAATTCGAATCTGGATAAGGTGAGAAGAAGACGGAGGGAATGGGGATTGAAAGGGGTAGGTAAGAGAGGCATGTAATGATAGCAAAATGGACATCAACATGAAAGACAAATACGGATACACACCTCTCCACGCCGCCTGTTGTGTCTTTTCGGAAAACGATGACGAGGTCCTCTCCCTCCTTTTGAACCAAAAGGGTGAGCTAAAAATAGCCCCGGCGCGTTGTAGATTGACACCGCCAGGTGTCGACGTGAACGCGAGGAACAACGACGACAACGTCCCACTCCACTACTTTTGCGCGAAATTTCTGTCGCCCAATTGTGCCGACGCCTTCGAGCTGTTCGTTGCCAAGGGAGCGAACGTCAACGCACAGAACAACATCGGAGAGACACCTCTACACAAGGCCATCTTCAATAACCAAGTTCGAATCCTCATGACCGGTCTCCTCATCAAGGCGGGTGCAGACACGAACAAGGCGAATTCAAAGAGGGAGATTCCACTGCATTATGCAGTTCGTTTGGGAAGAGAAGATCTCGTGTTGATCTTGCTGAAGGGAGGATCTGAGATCAACGTGAAGGGACAGATGGACGTGAGTGGCTGGTTGTAGATGAACCTGACCTCCGCAGAAATCTCCCTTGGATCTCGCGGTGGAAGCGAAGCACGAGAAGATGGTGCACATTCTACAACGCGCCATGGAATTGTTCAATTGGCTGGCCGATCCCAGCTTGCAGATGGAAAAATATTACACTGAATTTCTCAACGAGGACATGTACAAAGATGTCATGCCCGAATTAGACGAAGCCATACTCGACCGAATGGACATCAAGACAACGGGACACCGACTCCGCCTTCTCAAGGCCGCAAAGACACTGAGAGAAGAGATGGCATCCATCAAGGTGGACGTTCTTGATGATATCGACGTCGACCGACCCCTCACAGCTGTCCCCTCCCATGGGCCACGATTCCGCGGAGACTTCCGTATTAACCCTCGGAACTCCCGGCAGTCACGAAGATGAACTGGGAAAATCTCAGCAGCCGTCGGCGGCCGATATAGAGGCACAATTGGAGGCACTCAAGTACATCAACAAGGGGTCGTGGGTGTTGGTCAACAGCGAGTGCGAATTTACCGTTAAATTGGGAGCGGGAGCGTCTGGTACAGTGTACAAAGGTTTATTCAGGGGGGGTGAGGTGGCCATCAAGGTGAGTGGCGGGTTGTAGATGGATGGAATGTGATAGGATCAGGTGTTGAAGACCGAGCAATCCCAGAAGGAGTTGGAGGAATTCAAGAAGGAATTTCAGATCATGAGGTGAGTCCCGATTCCAGATTTATTTCATTTTATTGTTCTGACTTTGGGACAGTACAATCAAATCTCCCTACATCGTCTTCTTCTTCGGTGCCGTTTTAGAGCCCAAGCTGTGCATGGTCATGGAGCTCTGTGAATTAGGCTCCCTGTACCACGTCATGAACGATCCAAAAATAGAACTCGACTGGAACAGAACACTTCAGATGTGCAAGCAGATGACGAAGGGTATCGATTGCCTCCACACGCACAATCCACAGATCCTCCATCGTGATTTCAAATCACTCAACATCATGGTGATGACGTCACACATCATCATGGAAGCTGATGACGTGGCAGGTCAACTCGAAGTTGATGTGTAAAGTGGGAGATTTCGGTTTGTCCAGATTCAACACGGACACACAAAAGGAGACGCTCGCCAAGATGAGAGGAACCTTTGCCTACTGCGCACCAGGTACAGCATCATCATCATCATCATCCGACAGCGACACCATGCTGACTCATTCTCTATAGAAGTCTACCGCGGCGAGCCGTTCTCGACCAAGGCCGACGTCTTCTCCCTCGGCATCGTCCTCTGGGAGATCGTCGTCCGTTGCATGAGAAGAGAGTACCAGAGACCCTACCAGGAATATCCCAACCTCTGCTTCGACTTCCAGATCATCATCCAGACGGCCAAGAAGGGTCTACGTCCCACCGTTCCAGCCAACTGTCCCCAGGTCTTTACGGACTTGATCAAGGCATGCTGGGCGCCCGATGCTGCGGCCAGACCCGATTGTGCTGAGGTCATTGCAAAGTGAGATGATGGGATGATTCGATGATGATTACATGATGATAATGTGAGACTGATGGATGAAATAGGTTGGACCAATTGGAGGAGGATTACAAGAGTAATACGGCACAATGGAAGTCGTTGATCGATCCCCCGAAGGAGTGAAGATGAAGGGTTCTCGTGGAGATAAAGAGAGATTCGTGTTTGTTTCCTCTTGTCCTTTGAGAGGATCTACATCATCGGGATGATTAGCTGACGGTGAAATGTTTGAGATGGCTTCGCAAAGATCATGATGAGAAGGTGGAGCCCACTGTATGGAGGATGCGTGGAGGATTGGAAGATGTCTATAGATAGAACGTCTCTGTTTCCACACGATGGAAGAGAAGCTGGAATCGGGGATGATCTGTGCATACACATAAACAGCCTGCAACAAACGCTCCACACCACCCGCGTGAGACCCACCTATAAGAATGACCTTTGCAGACCTTGCCTAAGCCGATGAACCTGCCAGCATTGTCAGAGATCATCACACAACCGATCTTTAATGATTGCACTCCCGACGGCGAGCCTCCACAACCACATACCCCTGAACGGGCTGAGGTGCGGGTGTGAAATGGGAACTCATTCAAATAGGTAGAACACGAAAAGCATCAGAACCGGCCCTTCTGAAGAAAGCAACTATATTGGGGATTCA